TTATTTATTGAATCTAGGGGTGTGGTGTCCTTTTTTTGTGATTATTCCTATTATATATTCCCATAATATTTGCATGCATGTCTGCTTACATCCAGCTTCCCATAGATCTAACATGGGTCAGGTAAGTTCAGTTTTTTTCCTCCATCACAAGATGAGGCAAAATTCGAACTGAAACATTCAGCAGGGGATCCATACACAGATCCCCTGCTGAACAGTAACGGACAGGCATCCGTGTGAAAGGGGCCCAACATCATGCATTAGGCCCCATTCACACTGAGCGTTTCGCAAATCGTGCTGCGCGATATCGCGCGTTTGTCACGCAATATCGCGCAAATGCTTGCATTGAGCAAGCTAGAATCGCGGCAAAATCCGCTCCAAAAAGGGTCCTGCTGTAGCGACGTCAAGACCCGCGACAGCGACGGACAGAGCCCCATTGAGATGCATTGGAGAGCGATATCGAGCGGTAAATAGCCGCGATATCGCGGGAATTACCGCGCGATAAATCGCTCAGTGTGAACTTAAGTGCAAACTTCATTCACAGCATTCAGAGTATTTGAGGTTCTTGAAATCACAGGCCATTTTGATTTTTTCTTTGTATGTTTTTACATGCGCAAACACACATTTGTTTGAGGGTATTTCATGTGTTGTCAAGCTTCACGCATTTTTGTTTTGGCCAATGGAAAGCAATATCATCTGTGACATCATATATCATCCTCATCCTGGTTTCTGCTTCCTGTGTGGTGTCTTTGGTGCTATTGGAGTTCCCAGTCTGGGAAAACATCACGTCCAATTTCTTCCCAAGCCCTTTTCTGCTTGTGCCCTGGTTCTTCTATGATCATCACTGGGTTCACAGAGGTTCTTGTGGGCCCTCAGCGAAAAATGCACATTTACAAGATACTCCTGTGTGAATGGGCATCATTAGAATATAATGGAAATCTTCCTGTTGAGCGTTGTTGCAGTTTGGGAAATGCGCAACAAATTGCTCATGTGTGAATGGTGGCTAAAGGCAACATCAGCAGGAGGTAACAGAGCTAAATTAAAAGAGGGGCAAAGACCCTGGATCACACAAAATCCAGAAGCAGCTCAGACATCGGGGAAGTCAGAGACAGCATGGGAGAGTGGAGGAGACCTGCACTGGAGGACACATGTAGCACTGCATGCAATGAACAGATGTGTCACCTACCTAGTTCCTGCTATATATATCTATCAATCTACCTCGTAATGATAGCATAACTGCAAGGTAGATCAACAGACATACATGGTAGGTACTAGGCAGGCGGAAAAAAAAGTGTATGCTCATACAATAAATGTATGGGACAGGATTTGATCAAAGACTGTGTAAATTTCTTCTACCAAAAAAAAACACCTACCTGCCTGTCGGCAATTTTTTATTTTCAGTGCACAGAAGACCCAGCATGCTGGAAGGAAGTAATTCCCATATACAGGTGTTACATCATGTCAGCCAGCCAATCAAAGAACCCAGAAGAAGATCGGGAGAAGATGGCAGTGTCAGCGACGGAGGGGAGAGCAGACAGCAATGTAGAAGGGCATTGTCTGCAGTAAGTCAGCAATGCTGTGCATACTAGCACATTATGGCAATCACTTCCAGAGCTCAATTTTTTAATAACCACTTTGCTTCCACTTTAAAGGAGAACTATGGGGTCAGTGTTTTTACCCATAGTTCTCCTTAGGGTAACGGGAGGACACAAACTAGCGTCCTCCCGTTACACTAAGCTCAGTATACCGCGAGCTACAGCTCGCGGTATACTGAGACGCCGCATCTGGAGCGGATCCCGACTTAGATGACGGGATCCGCCCAGCTGCGTGAGTGACAGCTGGCTCTGCCTACCTAGAGGCAGAGCCAGCTGTACCAGTTGAGGAAGGTTTTGGAAGAACACTACTGGGCCTTGGTCTCACTAAGGGAGAGAACCTGTGCTCTATTCCTCCTGCACATAAGAGCACGATGCAGTATCTCACTGTGCGCTACTTAGTCAGGAGGGGGGGAGGGGAGCCCTGTCAGGTAGGGGGCCCCACGATTTCGAATGGCGGCCCTGTATATCATATGCATAATTACATTAGGCCAAGCTGGACCCAGGGACACCCCAATAATGAGGCAACCTGAGGCTGTTATCTCTTTGGGTCACGGTGTGGGGGTGGCATGGCCGCTCTGCTGCACAATATTTGCAGTGTGCCTGCTGCTGAAGTGGTTATACTTCAGCAGCAGGCACTGATACTGCTGCTGAAGTGGTTAAACATGCTGCTGCAGCCGTGTTCTTGGTATCATTGTAAACAGCGGGCAATTGCTGTTTAGATACGAGCGATCTGGTGTCTATGCAGGTTATGGATTGCTTGTACCGATCAGCGGAGTGTGCTGTCCCCACCCCACGCCGCCAGCGGCTACCCCAGGCTCCGCTGTCCCTGTGCGGGTCCGGGACTGGCACGGTGGGTCTCCCTGCATTGATTGAAGAGAGATGAGCAGGCTTCCAGCTGCTAATCTCTCCTCTGATCACTGGACCCGGAAGTGATGTGTATTACATCACTTCCGGTGTCAATGTTTATCTTGTCCGTCTCTTATAGCAGGGAGAAGAAGCTGGGGAATCAGATCTCTGCTTCATCAGATACTTTGGGGTCCCTAGGTGACATTAGGGGTGTGAAAGTCCATAAAGAGGACCTGTCACACTCTATTTGCTATTACATAGGGTGCTTGTTAGCCCCCAATGTGATAGCAATAAAGTTAGTGTAAAAAAAAAGTTTTTTAAAGTGTTTAAAAAAAATTAAATAACAAATAAAAATTTAAAAAATGCAATAAATAAATGTAAAAAAAATTAAGTAGTTACGGTACACACATTGCAATCGGCAACAGCGCCTCTTAGCGGCAACCATTCAATATGCCCACACTGCAATACTAGTTTGTGCCGCTTCCGCCCTTCTCAAGATGGCGGCGCTGTCAGGATGTGAGGTGGCACTATGGCTGTCGTAGACTTCCGGAATCCTTGAACAACTTGTCAACATGGCCAAGTCCAGGCTGGAACTGAACTTTGTGCGACTACTGTCACGATGCGAGTGTATGGCCTCTGAGAAGAGAGAGCAGGGGGAGTGGAGGCTGGAGAAGGTGAGAGAGACGGACATCGCTGAGGTGTCCTGCTCTATGTCTCCCCTCAGAGAGAATCCATTCATTGTGTTCCTGACGTCGTATGCTTTTCATGTCTAATAAAAATGTCAGGGAGCTGCAGACACATTACATATAGCACATAATGCTGGGTAACTTCTAGAACTTTGGTGTGTAGTATTGTGCACTTCTTACTTGCTGCACTGCCATTCATTAAAGAAGAACGCCATTAATTATTTTTAAAAAATGTTACCCTTGCAGTGGGGCTACCCCGGCACTGGAAGGGTCAAGTGTTCGTCTTGTCTAGGGGCTCAGATAAATCTGTATGACTCACCTTTAACTGGGTCCCTTCTCTCTGGCTTTGTAATTTCTCTCATCATCCCCACATCTTGCTTAAGATGTAATAACGTCAGTGATCCTGAGACCACCAGGGGAGTAGAGGCAGCTAGGACCGGTCTAGCAGCCCGGAAGGTACAGGTCAGGTAAGTAAATCAGCGTTGAGTCCACTAGCCAAAACAAGCACTTAACCCTTGGTACAGGTGTAGCCCCACTGCCAGAGTAAGTTTGTGATTTTCCGAGCGTTCCTCTTTAAGCCTCCATTAACACATGAGCAATTGGAAGCGCTTTCCAGAAGCCCGACACACAGATTTCCATGTTATTCTCTTATGTAAATGCTCAGAAAAATAACGGAGCTTCTTTGGGGCATGATTTCGTTTTTGTCCCCAAAAGACTTCAGTGGGAGAGCCTGAGAAATGCATGTTTTTAATGCAATTATTTTCTCCCTACGAAGGTCATCAATTTAGTGGTAACCATGATTAACGGTCCTAGAATTATTGCACTCACTCTGGTGTGTGGTGATACCAACATGTGGTGCAATCATCGTTTTCATATGTAGGTGCACCCAAAGCATGTGTTTACATTCATGTGTATGGTTCATAGGTAGTCTCTGGAGAATAATCTCCAGGGACTAAAGTGGGTTTTTACTCTACCCAAGTGTAAGTACAAGCGTAAACAAGAGGTGCACCGAAATAGGGCTGCAACAACTAATCGACATAATCGATTTTAATCGATTATTGAAAAAGTTGTCAACTTTTTCAATAATCGATTAATCGGCTTCTGATCAGTTGGCCCTGAATGAAAATGTCAAAAACGAAACTGAAATTTAAAAAATGTCAGGGCGAAACCGAAAATGTTTTTTATTTTCACTTTTTCAAAAAAAATAACCTTTTTAATTTTTTATTAAATATTTTTATTTTTTTACTTTACTTTTAGGGGCTTTGGTGGAATATTTGATATTTCCTTTTTAAAACAGAAAAAGATTGAGAACACAGAGTCCTCAATCACTTTTTCTGCAGCCCCTGTTATCAATGAACAGGAATCCTCTATACTGAGTGTTCCTGTTCATTCATAACATGAGGACAGAGTATGTTTACTATAACCATAATCGTGAATGAACAGGAGGTGATGTAGATCACTCCCATTCATTCATAATTGAGGATATAGTAACCATACTATGCCCTCAATTATCTACAAACACTCAGCGATCACTGAGTGTTTGTACATTGCTCTCCTTCCTGACATGCTGTCACTGGAGGCTGAGCGAGCGGTGCAGGGAGGAGAGCTCAGCCTCCTGTGACAGCGCTGGCTGTCTCCGCCCACACACTGCTCTGATCTGTGACAGGAGGCTGAGCGGTGTGGGAGGAGAGACGCCGGCCGCTCACAGCGCTCTTGTCCAGCAGCACTAGGCCGGCCTGTCACAGTTGCTCTCCTCCCGCTGGGACACAGAGCAGCGCACAGCAGGGAGGAGAGAAAGAATGGATAAACCGCTGTATCGGCCAGAAAATGGCACTTTCACCATTATGACAAAAGTGCAATTTTCGGCCGATATGTTTCAGCACGCGATATATCGGTGCATCCCTGGTCTATAACACACACACACCTCTCACAGTGATTACTGTATACCTCTTCCACAGAATGATGGCATCATCTTTGTTATGCATTATCCAGGGTCACCATCTATTTCCTGAACTAAGATGACACCATCCTGTATTATCCAGGGTCACCATCTACTTCCTGGACTGAGATGACACCACCTGTATTATCCAGGACTGCTGATCCAGGCCACACAGGATGTTTAGTCTCAAATTTACTAAGACTTTGGTGATCTAGCATTCCCCCGCCATTTTTTATGTTCGGATGGGGTATCTTACTTTTGGTAGCCAAGTAATATTATTAGATAATAGGAGCGAGACACAGTGCAGGAGTTTTACAAATATTTTTGCAGCTTTTTAGTGAAAATGTTCAGGACAAGGAGAATCTTCACGAATCTCTTGGATGAAAGTTTGCCTTTTGGCTGCGACAGTTCCGAAAAACTTTGTAGATCCTTCTCCTCAGCTGGTTTCTTAGACCAAAACTCTTACCAGTTTTTTTTTTAGACCCTTCCTTACCATGTTCATAACCTCTATCTTCCAATGTTCCTCTT